GACCACCGAGGCTTGTCACTACACGAACCACTCGTAAGGTAGTTACGCTGGTTATGGAAACTGAGGGCAAAATGGGGAGAGGAGGAGGTTTACTGGTGTTTTGATGGCAATGTGAGTGTGTGTGTGTGTGGGGGGGGGGGGTGGGGGTGGGGGGGTGGGCGAGAGGGAGGGAGGGGGTAGGATTGCAGCGTTTATAGGAAATCTTGGATCACCGGCAAAGTAGGAATTCTCTGCGTCTGGCATTCATTTTCAAACATGTTATGTTCTTTTCCAGGGATTTCATTCCCCCCCCCCCATCCCTCCACCCCCCACCCCCAACTCCCCCAAAGCCCCAAGGGTCACTATCAGTGCTTCCCCGTCAGACACGGATGAGCCATGTCAAGCACACATTCCTTCTGTGTGCGCGTGTGTGTGTGCGTGTTGGGTGGGGGGGGCAGTGGGAGGGGTGAGAAAGGGGCTTCCGTGTGCACAAAGCCCTTCGTGGGATCTTTTTTGCTGGCGGGAGGGGGAGTGGGTGGGGGGGGGGAGAACAGGAAAAAAAGGGACATTTTATGGATTTGATGTGTTGGTTAATAGATATCTTGTGATGTGACATTTTTTCACTTGAGTATCTATTGATCTGTCAACCGGGGGCTATGATTTTCATTCTCCCCCCCACCCCCACCCCGCCCAGCCCCAACCCACCCCCATCACTTCACAGCACCCCCCCACCCCTCCCCGAGGAATACTGGGGCAGCAGGAATTGCGGAAGTATAAGACGATCCTTCCATTCGATCCAACGTCTCATCACGTCTTCGAAACGTCTCAAAGCGCTTCACAGGATAATACACCGTAAAGTGTGGTGACTGTATATTTCGGGGCGAAACGCGGCAGCCGATTGCGCACAGCGACGCCCCCGCAAACAGTCGCGGATTGAGCGACCAAATTATTATGAAGCGCTTTGGGACGTCCTCCCGACGTGAAAAGCGCTATATCAAATGCAAGGATTATTATTATTATTATTATTATTTTTGGGGGGTGGGTGGGGTGGGGTAGGGGGGGCGCGAAATTGAATCTAGGCCGGCTTAAACCCTTTGTGCCACTACAACAACCAAAACGAAACCCAAATTAGATGAAGTTGAGGCGAGCGACTGTAAGGTATAAACCGGAAAAAACAGGTGGGGGGGGGGTGGGGGGGTGGGAACGTTCGGGGGAATTTTGAATGTTGTTGACTCCGAGGCTTGGGATGGAAGCTCCACCATTACGGAGCCACGAGAAACAGACGAAGGGTCAAATATTTGAGGAATGTTTCCCTGCGGTTCAATTCTCTGAGGAGGAAGTCCATCTGCGGAAAGGCCCAATTCCCTTCGTCTCACGCCTTCTCTCTCCCTCACCCCAGTACACCCCAGGATTGTTGGCCAGTACACTCGGGGAGAAGCTCCCTTCTCGTTTCAAACAGGGTCACGGATACTTTGACGTCCACTTGAACAGGCGGACGGCATTTCGGTTTAACTGAGAACCAGGGAATGGGTCAGAGGTGGAAAGGGCTTTGTAACCAAACAACCTTATGTCAACTAAACCCCCTGTTTAGATGGAAGAACAACATCAATGGCCAGTAAACTAGAATCCAAATAGCCAGCATTATTTTCCTTCTAAATATAAAATACTGGTTGCGTTCAGTTGCGAATCACATCCTAACAGCTATATATACACTCACACACACACACACACACACACACCAGGTTGACAACTGCCTTGGAGGGTGATCTTAAGGGTTCAGGGGAATAGGTAGATAAGTGTCATTGCTGTATGCAGTGTAGTTCCACATCCTTCCACAGTGTATTTTGTGCCCTTTCCATCTCCTCCCAACATCCCCTCTCCCCACCTCCCTCCCTCCCTCCCTCCCTCCCTCAGGGAAAGCATAAAATGTCAATAAACATTCATCGCACGGAATTTGTTCTCTCCCAACCGGAAAACCGCAGCACAAATACTTGTTTGCACACATTTACGCAACGCTGGCTGCTCCCAAGATTGTTTTTTTTATATATAAGGCAGTAAAGAGTTATAAAGTCTAAAGTTGTTGATTTGCCCAACATTGCGATCGTTTGTCATGTTCCATAACACGTTCCTTTTGCGCTAATTCACACAAGGAATGTTTGTGAAAGTCGGGCCCTACCTTTAACCCTACCCTATCACCACCATCACCATCATCATCATCATCATCATCATCATTGTAATTGATGTAGAACATTGCGAATCACTTTACGGCATTTTATATAACTTGCGCATTTCACAGTCACGAAGCTTGACGGTTAATCACTCGAGAGCACTTTGAGACGTTAGACCTTGTAGGTCAACTGTAAGGCTTATAAACACTTATTTCAGTCAGTTTACACACATCAACGTCCCACAGACAGCCTTGAGGTGAATGTTATCTGGGAGAACTTCAGTGAGGACACCGAGAGAAAGTCCCTGCACTTTTCCAGCGCCTCTACGCAATCTTTAATGCCTCCCTGAACAGGACGTGGGTTTAACGTCTCACCCGATGGATAGCACCTCTGACAGTTCAGTGTTTCCCAGTTCTATTTCCATATGGACACCATATGCAGTCCTGTAGCTCAGTGGTTAGAGCACTCGCCTCGCAAAGCGAGAGGACCTGGGTTTGGTTTCCCGGTCAGGGCAAATTGTTGGGCAAGTTTCCTCACTCCGCGCGCACGCCTCGGTTTCCTCGCCGTAAGTAGGAACCTGTTGGTATTCGATTGGCGCATCGCCTTCCGGGGGAGAATAATAAAAATAATAACTCGGTCACTCAATCTATGACTGTTTGTGGGGACACTGCTGTGCGCAATCGGCTGCCGCGCTTCGCCCACAAAATATACAGTCACTCCACTTTATAGTATATTCTGTGAAGCGCTTCGAGACGTCTCGAAGACGTGGATAAGACGCGATATCAAATGCAAGGATTATTATTATGATGACTATTATTTTCCCCTTCCTCCCTGAGGGCACTTGACTCCTTTTTGCATTCTGCGGAGGGAGTGTGTTCCTCAGGCGCACTCCCTCCACCCCCTTACCCCCTACTCTCGTGGGGGCAGGAGATATAACTCTGGGGGCATCACAGCTGGGACTCAATTCTGTCCTCCCTTCCAATGGGGGAACTTGGGAATGTGCGTGTGGATGGCGGGGGTGTCCCTGGCTGATTTTATTTCCCTCCTTAGCCCAGGGGACACTGAAGCTAATTGTAGCCCCGACTACTGTTGCTAACTCCAGCTGAGGTCAGTTCCAATGAGCTTCCCTTTGCTCGGAAAACAACCGAATGTTCGGAAAGACGTATCTCAAATCTCTTTAGTGATTTGGATCCAACTTCCTGTCCCGTGATTTGTTGTGGCTGCTGTTTCCCATCGTTGCCCATTAAACCTCGCAAGTGGCCCGATTAGATCAGGGCCGACAATGCAAAGATTTCCTGCCCTGTGGTATTAAGTATGTCTCTCGACTGATCGCATGGACCAATGTTTTGCAATTCCACTTTGTTGTGCATACACAGGTCAGGCCAGGTCCAGGTCAGGTCAAGTCTACCTCCCCTCCTCATAAAATGGCCTGAGCGCAACACAAACCACATCGAAACAACAACAACAGAAGCAACGAATGTCATTCACACAGTGCCTTTCACGTCAGGAGGACGTCCCAAGGCACTGGATACTCAAGGATTTGGACCCGAGCTGAGAGATTGGGATCAGGGAGAGTGGAAGACAGGGAGAGGGAGGGGTGGGATGGAGACCTTAGGTCCATTGAAGAAGAGATTCTTGAGACATGCCTTGAAGGAGGCGAGGGAGGGAGAGAGGGAGGGAGGGAGCGAGGCGAAGGGACTGTGGAATGCAGTTCCAAAGGGTGGGGACGGAGGGACATGTAATGAAGGGCTCTGGTGTTAGCCACCAATGAAAGCCATTGGTCCAACAGAGCACGCTGATCATTTTCAGGTTTTATTTCACGTTTGCTGTGTTTTTTATTGTCTCTTTTCTCTCCATCTCTCGTCCGACCATCTTCTCTGGAAACCCTGGTCCACGAGCTCCCTCTCAAGGCCAACTCAGAAACTGAAGCAGGGGAGTCTCTCTCTCTGCGTCCTGGCCGACACTCTCCTCAAATTAAATTGGTCGCTCGCTTCATGTCTGTTTTGCGGGACATCCCTGTGAACAAATTGGCTGCCGTGTTTCGCCTACAAACCGCACAGTCATTACGCTTTACAGTAAACCCTGTAGTTTCAATCTGCAAAAGAAATCGATGCAATAATAATCCTCATTCACTCACTCATTCACTCAACAACTCACTCAATAACTTGCATTTGATACAGTGCCTTATCACGTCCTTCAAGACGTCTCAAAGCGTTTTACAGAATATACTGTAAATTGATTTGACTGTACGTTTTGTGGTTAAGTTATTGAGTGAAACAATGAGTGAACGAGTGAGTGAGTTATTAAGTCAATGAGTGAATAAGCCATTGAGTCAGTGAGTGAGTATTGAGTAAGTTATTAAGTGAGTTATTGAGTGGAATGAGCGAGTGATTGAATGAGTGTGTGAGTTAGAGTGAGTTATTGAGTGAATGAGTGAGTTATTGAGTGAGTTATTCAGCGAATGAGTTATTGATTGTCTGAGTAAGTTATTGAGTGTGAATGAGTGATTGAATGTGTGAATGAATGAGTGAGTGATTGAGTGAATGAATGAGTGAGTGATTGAGTGAGTGAGTGAGTGTGTGAATGAATGAATGAGTAAGTGAGTGAGTGTGTGAATGAATGAGTGAGTGATTGAATGTGTGAATGAATGAGTGAGTGATTGAGTGAGTGAGTGTGTGAATGAATGAGTGATTGAATGTGTGAATGAATGAGTGAGTGATTGAGTGAGTGAGTGTGTGAATGAATGAGTGATTGAATGTGTGAATGAATGAGTGAGTGATTGAGTGAATGAGTGAGTGAGTGAGAGTGACTGGTGTCACCCAGTGGGACTATCCTGACAGTCAGTGAGTGGGTGGGAACCTTTGTTGGGCGGACACTCTGTCCGGGAGCTGCGGGTGCGGGGGGGCGGGACCGGAAGGGGAGGTTGGCCGCACCCGCCGCCTGTCGCGGCGCCGCCATGAGCTTCCCGTGGCCCTGGCAGTACAACTTCCCGCCTTTCTTCACGTAAGCGGCGGCTCGGTCCCCCCCCACACCCCCCTCACACCCCCCCCACCACACACCCCTCCCCCACCCCCCTCCCACACACACACCGGGGGTCACCGGGGCCGCGGGGATTGCGGCCTCCGGGGGCGGTCTCTGTCAGGGCCTCGGGGTGGCCTGGACTGTCAGGGCCCGGAGTCGGTGCTCACTGGGCGGGAGCATCAGCCACGGCCACAGCGCCCCCCACCACCACCCCCACACCGGTCACTACAGGGGTCAGCATTCAACCACAAGGGTGTGTGGGGGGGGGGGGGGATGGGGGGTGTGTGGGGGGGAATGGGGGTGTGTGGGAGGGGGAATGGGGTGTGTGAGGGGGGAATGGGGGTGTGTGGGAGGGGGGAATGGGGGTGTGTGTGGGGGGGAATGGGGGTGTGTGTGGGGGGGGAATGGGGGTGTGTGGGGGGGGGGGGGGAATGGGGGTGTGTGTGGGGGAGGGAGGTGTGTGTGTGGGGGGGGGGGAATGGGGGTGTGTGTGAGAGGGGAATGGGGGTGTGTGAGGGGGAATGGGGGTGTGTGTGAGGGGGGAGGGAAAGAGGTTGTTGGGGGGTGGGGGGGTCCCAGAAAGTTGCCGACTGTCCCATTTTAGTCTCTGGAGCCCCCGGAGACGCTGCCCCGCGTGAATATACTAATAACGATGATAACCCTCGCGCTTGACACGTGTGCCGCGAGGATTATTATTATTATATTATTATTATTATTCACATTACACGGCGGCTTCGCTTTTATCGCGCCGTCCGCACGTCTCAAAGGCGCTTCACGCGCTACACTTGACGAGCGAATCGGCGTTTACGGGCCGGGGCGCCTCACGCAAATGCCTTTCGCCCACAAAACGCACAGTCGCCACACTTTACGGCGCGTCCCGCGAAGGGCTCGGGAGACGTCTGGACGACGTGGCGAAGCGCCGGGTCAAACGCGAGGACGACGATGATGATGATGATGATTATTGTTGATGCTCTTCTTAGATTAATTTCCGTGGCTGTGATCTGTCTGCGTCTGAGGGGCGTTGACCCTCTTTTGCAGTGGTTGATTGCCTGTTTTCCCCTTTCTCCCCCCCCCCCCCCCTCCCCCCCCGACAGACTCCAGCCCAACGTGAACACGCAGCACAAGCAGCTGGCGGCATGGTGCTCGGTGGTGCTCGCCTATTTTCGGTATCACAAGCTTCACCAGCTCGACGTGCTGGAGGCCCAGGAGAGCCAGCTGTTCAACAACAAGAGGATCCAGCGTATCCTTGACCCCGCCTCGTTTACCAGCCCGCTCTCTGCTAGAGCAGGAAGGCAGGCAGTTGGGTAGACGGATAATAATAATGCTAATAACAATTAATAGTAATACCAGCGTTCGTTGCTCCCACCAGACACGCAGCCAATTCACTTGACAGTGTATTCTATGCAAAAAAAAATGGGACTGTTTTCTCTGTTTCATCGACGTCGCTCGTCTGAACAACCGCTTGAGGTCAAAGCTGACACTTGGCTGACACTCGCTCTGGTGAAAAAGTACTTTCATTGTAAATTCTGTTTTGTGGCCCGTTTTTCCACGTTCCTGTGGGCGGTGCTATCTCAGCAAATCTGTGTCTCTCGTTTCAGTTCGTTAAACCTTGTACCCCAGAACAAAAATTGCAAGAGGAAGTATCGTATTTCCCTCCTGTTTTGACTAGATGGCAAATGATTCCCTTTGCTCCTGGATTGCTGATGATAATAGCGCCTGCATTTGATGCAGCACCTTATCAAGCCACACGACGTCTCAAAGCGCTTCACAGAATATGCTGTAAGGTGAATCGACTGTATTTTGTGGGTAAATACAGTCATGGACAATGAGTGAGTGAGTGAGTTAATGAGTGAACCAGTGAGTGAGTTATGAGTTAGACAATAGGTGAGAAAAGTAGTTGAATGAGTGAGACATTGAGTGAGTGAGTGAATTATTGGGTGAGTGAATTATTGGGTGAGTGAATCAGTGAGTGAGTGATTGTCACTGGACAGCGCTGTTTTGTTAGGAAAACCGTTCTTGCCCCAGTGCCAGGATTTCCTTAACCCCCAACATACAGGGAAACTCTCCACAGAGGCTATCCAGGTGGTGTTGGAAGATCTCAGGAAAAAGGGTTGGTGCCTTGTATTTTGTGGCTGACTATAACTGGAGCTGTGGTGGTGAAATAATAATAATAATAATCGCTGCATTTGATACAGCGCCTTGTCACGTCTTCAAGTTCTTCTCAAAGCGCTTGACAGAATATACTGTAAAGTGAATCGACTGTATATTTTGTGGGTGAAACGCGGCAGCCAATTGCGCACAGCAGTTTCCCACATTAAGCGACCAATTTACTATTTTCCTTTTTTTGAAGGAATTATTACCCCCCGGAAAAGGGATCCGCCAATCGACTAACAACCGGGTTCCTACTTACCGCTAGGTTAACAGAGGCGCATGGAGTAAGGTCTCTCGCTTGTGAGACGAGTGCTCCAACCACTGAGCTACAGGTTGCTCCACACACTCCCCAAATGTCCTTTAGAGACTTCGGAATATCAATACACTGCATGTTTACTCCAGTTTTCTCCCCACTTGTCTCCAGAAAGACTGAGTTCCTACCGATGTGAAAGGCACTGTACAAATGTAGTTTGTTGTTGTTGCTCAACCCGTGTGCGCACACACACCCACATGCGTACACCCGCCCACGCACAGGCAAATAAGATTCGATAAGTCACGGTTTCTCCGGATTGCGGGATTTCCGTCATTCGAAGCACTTTAGTTTTTTTAATTCCTGTATTTTTTTTTTTACACGATTTTAAAAGAAAAAAGAGAAATCGTGAGTGGGGTCGAGCTTCGAGGGTTGGATTTTTCTGATCGTTTTTTTGCTTGGGTTTCAGGAAACTTAGAGTGGATCGACAAAAATAAGACCCGGTGTCTGATCATGTGGAGGAGACCAGAGGAGTGGGGGAAGCTGGTGTATCAGTGGGTAAGAATCCACTTGGTTATACATCACTTCCCAGTACACAACACACTCCCCAATTACAGTCAACTTCTGATAACTCGACCCTGGCTTAACTTGTCACTTACCACTTAACTCAGGCAGGGTGGGGTCCAACCTTTTGGATGGTGAGGTGACGGGTGCGCTATTTCAGATATGTCGATGGGTCACATAAGCAATATTTTTGTGTTTCCCTTCTGGAAACGTAACATAACATCAATTCACTTCACAGTGTATTCTGTGAAGCGCTTCGAGATGCCTCAAAGATGTGATAAGGCACTGTATCAAACGCGAGGATCATTATTATTATTTTCGTGGGGGTAGATTCTTGGAGTGCTGAAGACAGAAAGAGGGAAGGCGGGGAGGGGGGCAAGACGGATGGGTTGAGGAAGAGAAGTCTGTAATGGCCGCTTCAAAACAAAGGGAAATTATTATGTACGGGTTATGGAGGGAGCGGGTGGGCCAGATGAGAGGGAGGGGGCAAGGGAATCGGCAACTCTCTGAATATTTAATATTAATAAATAATATAATGTCTCGTATCGTTCACAGGTTTCAAAGAATGGCATGACCAACTCTGTGTTTACACTGTATGAGCTCTCAAATGGAGACGACACAGAAGGGGAGGGTAAGTGCTCACCTCCCTAACGCACAGTCACTACACTTTACACAGAATAACCCGTGAAGCCCTTTGAGACGTCCTTCACGCCTGAACGCTTGACAGTGGGCGAACCTGACGCCGAGCCGGGGGGAGGGGAAGGCGACCGTAAGCACGGTCGAAGAGGCAGGTCTCGAGATGTGATCTGAAATTGGGGAAAGGGGGGAGAAAGCTGGAGGGATTGAGGACGAGAGTTTTCGGGGCGCAACGGCTGAAAGCACGGCCGCCGGTAGTGGGGGGACGAGGGACAAGCAGGAGGCCGGAGGCAGTGGGTGGTGGCACGGGGAATAAGCAGGTCGGAGAGGTTAGGCCAGACTCCTGGGGAGAGAAGTGTCGCTGCACAAACTGACAGGTGGGAAAAACCGTCAAAAGGAAAGGGAACGCAAGTTACCAACGTGGGGAATGTTTCCAAGTCCAATTACGTTTACAAAGGAGCTTTATCTGAAACCCTAGGGGGAGGAAATGACTCGGTGGCTCGCGCATTGTTTGCAGGCGCCTGATTCCTCCCTACTGTGCTGCGTACCGCCCGCCAGGAGAAGCGGCGAGAACCTGAGCTCGTTCTTGTCTTGCAGAGTTCCACGGCCTGGAAGAGTGGCTGCTGATTCGAGCGTTGCAAGCTTTGCAGTCGGAGCACAAGGCAGAGATCATCAGCCTGAACGACAGCAAAGGCGTTAAGTTCTTCTGATCTCTTCCCCCCCCCCTCCCTCTCCCCCCTCCCACCCCACTCCCTGGTCTGGCCACAGCCAGAGAGACACATGGACTGATTACGATCAAGCTCTAACCGAGCCCCAACCCCCCCGATGAGGGAGCGGTTCAGATTTACACAAATACCACACGACCTTAGCCCCCACCATCCCACCCATCACCAGCTCCCTGTCTGCTCTGCACTGCAGCCCCGGTCTCCGCTGTTTATTTAGTCTTAATCCAATTCGCCTTCCCTCTCCGGAGTTTAAAGATGAATGTAATTAATTGATGGCTGTGCTGTACCAGGCCGGGCGGGGGCCGAGATCGATCGGCGCAGGATGTTTACCCAAAGTGGGAGCCTGGTTTGAGAGGTTAGACCGGGGATTGCGGACTGAGAATTTCCCCGTAATATTCGAAATGCGCAGCCTACAAAAACACACACACGCCACTGCACTTCACAGCCATTCCTGCCTGAGCGAGCTGTCTTTCCTGACGTGAAAGGTGCTATGACGAAAACGAGGATTATTACACGTAAATCGGCGTGCTTTCTGTGCAGAATTTCCTTCCGATGGCACAAGAGACATGGCCCGTTATGCACGCGCGCGATAGACCGAAGCCGTCTGGAGCTCGGCCTCTGGTCTGGGGGCACCTTGGAACATTGGGCGAAAAAAAAGATCATTTCCCTGCTGGTCTCGGGAAATATCTGCTTTCCACGGAGGAGCCTAAGCTTTCGGTTGGGGGTTTGCCACCAGATAGCGTCTGAAGACGTCCCAACCAGGATATCGAGGGTGTGAAGGAACATAGAAGCGTCTCTGCTGGAATGCCTGAGAGTTCAGCTGAGATAGAGATTGAATAGCAAGGTAGATAGCTCTGGGAATTCTTGACAACAGTTGCTTTCTCGGGGTGGGGTGGGGGGTAATCATTTTCCAGGGGGTGAAATAAATGTGGTCACTCACTCCGTGACTTTGTGGGACGCTGCTGTGCGCAATTGGCTGTCGCGTTAGGCCAACAAGATTCACTCCACTTCTTCGCAGTGTATCCTGTGAAGCGCTTTGAACCTTCTCGACGGGCCCGTGTCAAAACGCGGCGATGATTATTCCCGTCGATAGTGTTTCACGTTGGGAGGAACGTCTCAACGCGCTTTGCGGGATTTTAGCTGCGAGGCGCAGCGAACGCGTGTGTTTCCGCGGACGGAAAAACGCCGACGTCCAGAGCGCACGTCTCTTGCTTCTTAACCGTCTGCGCTGCCTCTGGCTGCTGAGCTTTACGGCTCTCGCGGGCCGTGACCTTTTAACGGAGGGCGGGGGAGCTGATGGCTCTCGTTTGGAATGTGCGAGCCGGTCCGTGCAGATTGGGTCTTTTGTTTAAACGCCTTGTTTCTGTGTGGGAATCCCACACGCCCTCTCCGACTTGCGGCTCAGACCTGAATGCATTGAATTCATCTCCAGAACAATGAGTGAACTCTGCACAATATTTTTGTTTGCCTCCCGAGCGAGCGAGCAAACCCGCATCGGGTTGTGGAGCGTCGAAGCAATCTCTTTTTGTTGGTGCTTTCGCTCAAATTAACCTCACGTAGCAATGTGAGACGTCCCAATGACGTGATAAGGCGTTATATCCAATTCATATTATTATTATTACATAAATTTGGTTTGGAGACTCGAGCTCGCCGACGGGGTTTCCACTCGAGTCAGACACTCGGTTTAGCCGGAAACCCAAAGTATTTTTTTTTAATATAAAAAAAGAGAACGCAACGGGGCGTTATATAACACCGCCTCGGAAACGTTTTGCGCTCGGGCTTCGCTACGGTCGAGGCGTTTGGAGCCCAGCGGCTGCCGTTGCTCAAGATTCCCGGCGTCATCCGGCCAACGCCGAGTGGCTGTTGTCATTTGTGGGTTGGCTGAGACTCAGTCACCCTCCCATCTTGCGATCTGTTCACTGGATGCTTTAGCGTTACCCCCCCCCGCCCACCCCCACCGTGTTGCTAAAGCATTCAGACTCAGCGCGTGTGACCGTGGCATAAGGACACTGCTGGCTGGGGGTGGGGGGAGTGCTATCACAACAGCGAGGTGTTGCCGCGCAGGTCAAAGGCGCTCCAGGTAGAGTGGTCGTTTGGGTTTTTTTTTCTCTGAATGATACAGCCCCCAATCTGTACTTTGTTGTTCGCACCACTCCCTCGGTGTTGCATTGAAGATCAAAATAAAGCCAACGCTGGTTCCGTTTTTGTTGAGGCTTTCGTGGGGTTTGCTGCACGAAATACTGCTGATTGGTGAAATATAAATGTGGGTGAGTGGGGTGGGGGTGGGTGGGGGGGGGTGTGGAGACAGCAGAGAGGCGCACACAAAAAATTCTAAAGCAACAAAATTCAAGATCTATTTAAACTTACTTAGGGCAGCTGCGGGCCAGCCTGGCACAGTGTACGCCCTCCTGCCGCCCGAGTCAGAAGTTTGTGGGTTCGTGCCCCCACGTCAGGACTTGGAATCGCAGAGGTGCCGTCCTTCGGAGGGGACGTTAAGCCGAGGTCCCGCCGTCTGTGACCGTTGGGACGGACGTTAAAGGTCCCGCGGCGCTATTCAAAAAAGAGCAGGGGGTTTTCTCTTTACAAGTGCCCTGGCCAGAAATCACCCCCCCCCCCCCCCCCAAATTAAATAGAATCGGTCACTCACTCCACGGCCGTTTGTGGGATGTTGCCTCCAAATTGTCTGCCACGTTTCACCCCACAAAATATTGTCAACACGGTGTGTCCCGTGACGTCTCAATGACGTGATAAGGCGCTGTATCGAATGTAAGGATTATTTATTATTGTTCTGCCAGCGGCACTCATTGCACGTCAGTCTGACTTTCATTAAATAGTTGACCGTGAGCCCATGGTTGGACGTTGACGATACTTTAAGCTTGTGAGGTCTGCGTCCCGTGGGTGTAACCGGAGCCTCAGCGGGAGCGACGGGAGACAGTTCGCCAGGAGCTGGAGATACAAAACCAGATGCAAAACAAGCAGTTAAGTGTTAAGACAAAGCGCAAAAGCTGTTGTGAGTGCACACTGAGGACAGTCACACCATGAGGAGGGAGAGGAAGGGCAAAGCAACTATCCAGAAGGTCAATAAACAGCGATTGAGTGATTGATTGAATGAAGTGGCCACAAGAGGGGGAGTTTGCCTGCGTCTGGGTAGCAACTCCTTAAAAATGCGCCCTCCGCAACCCTCCCATAAAAAGGAGAAACTGAACGATGGTTCAGACCCTTCGCAGTGGGACGTGTCAGATGCTGCCCCTGGTAAACTCAGTGAGGTGATCACACCAAAGATGGTTAGGGTTGGAGGGACGGGGAACTTGGTCTGTCAGGCTTGTGCGTTGAGACACAAAACCACAAGAGGGGGAGTTTGCACAACAACTCAGCACTGTGCTCAGGACGGTAAACATGCAAGGTTCGTTTAACCCTCTTATGCTCCATTCAGACCATGGCTGCACGCCTGTCATCGGAGCACGCAATTGTTCCCAAATTCCTCCCGTCGGATCAGAGTTAAAAGATTTGAGTTAAAGGATTTGATGCAGAACTTGGCTGGTGTCCTGAGGTATGTTCACAAAGGGACATCGAGGTGTGAGATTGCATTCGGTTCAGGTTACTTTGGGTTGAGGTTAATGGAAGACGGGCAACAAGAGATCAAATGGATGAATGGGCCGAGAGTAGAGAGCTCCAACGGGGAGAGAGCAAGGGAATGGGGTTCGAGTAGAGAGCGCCAGTGGGGAGAGAGCAAGGGAATGGGGTTCGAGTAGAGAGCTCCAGCGGGGAGAGAGCAAGGGAATGGGGTTCGAGTAGAGAGCTCCAGTGGGGGAGAGAGCGAGGGAATGAGGTTCGAGTAGAGAGCTCCAGTGGGGGAGAGAGCGAGGGAATGGGGTTCGAGTAGAGAGCTCCAGTGGGGGAGAGAGCGAGGGAATGGGGTTCGAGTAGAGAGCTCCAGTGGGGGAGCACAGACACGATGGGCGGAATTACCTGTTGGGCTGAATAAACATTTTAGGACTCCATGTCACCTCTTGATGTCCTGTTGCTCGGGGCAGGTTGATCAGACAGTCTGCTCTTGAGGCGCAGTACTGGCGTCGGCTCAAGTGGCTACAGAAAGAGCGCACACTCACCTTTTCCCAGGTGCGTCACAATGCAAACGGCTTCCACGAACATCCGCCTGACTCATTTTAATCTGGAAACGCACCCAGACTGTTGCTGCTTCGAACAATGACAGATCCTCTGTGATGATTAAAGTATAAGATTAGTTTCGCAGAACTTGTTTTTTTTTCTTCTTCTTCTTCCCAGAACTACGAACTGTTCACTCTGTTTGCAACCGAGCGTTTGTTCTCACTTAAATCGGTCGTAAGTAGCTGTCAGCGGGACGCCTGTTCGCCTGCAAAAGCACACAGTCACTACACTTTAAAACAAATCCCCCCCCCCACTCCCCGCGAAGCGCTTTGAGATGTCCTCTCGACATGAAAGGCGCTGTATCAAGCTACAGGGAACACTTATTTGAATTAATAGCAATAAAACAGCGCTAGGTCGAGACAACGGCAGCAAACGACGTTCACGCAGCACCTTCCGCTTCGGGAGGAAGTCCCAAGGCATGGGACCGTCGCACTTTGGGACCCGAGTTGGGGTGGGGGGACCAGGGTTTGGGGTCGAGATGTCTTCAGGCGCTTCACAGAAGATACACCGTAAAGCCGAGTGAGCGCGCATTTCGCGTAAGGAGAGCAAAGCGAAACCATGCCCCAAGTTCCGAAAGCCGAAATATTCCAAAATATCTACCGCGCCGGGGTTCGGGATACTTTTTTTTAATGACGAAATGCGCTTTGGATGTTGTTCTCGGGGCGTGCCTGGTTTGGCTCAGCTTGATAGCATTTCTGACGTGTAGTTCTGTGGCGAGTGGACGTGCAAATGTGGTGTTCGCTGTGCGAGCTGCTCGCTCTGATAAAGGAGAGGGTTTTTTTTTTCTGTTCGCTCGAACTCCATGTGCTTTGGGTTGGACAGGATTTAGGGTCTGGCTACGTGCCCTGGTCTGGGCTAGTCTGACCTGGCTCAGCTCAAGTGCCGCTGTCAATAAAGATTCATGTGAAGCTAGACGATGGTAATAATAATAATAATAATGATAATAATATCTAATAATAATAACTAACTAGCTAAATAAATAATGATAATTAATAACAATCCTCGCATTTGATACGGCGCCTTATCGCGCCGTTGAGACGTCTCGAAGCGCTTGACGGGAATACACCGTGAAGTGTAGTGACTGTGTATCTTGTGGGCGAAACAAGGCAGCCAATGGCACACAGCAGTGTCTCACAAGCAGAGGGAGAGACAGACCGACTGACTGACTCACTGACTCACTGACTGACTGACAGGTGTAGGAAATGTTGATTGCTCCCTGGACATGTCACCACTATGTATGTACCACATTTATCAAACCTCTCTCTCTCTCTCCCCCCTCCCACCCCCCTCCCACACCCAGAGCAAATCCCTTGCCCCCTCCCTTCCCTCCTTTAAACCTTTTTGAATGATTTAGAAGCAGTTTGGATCCTGCCAGGGAGCAAACCCACCACATTTTAGAAGAGAAGCAAAACAAAAACAAAAAGGACTTTTTTTTTAATATAAAAAAATTATTCATCATAGGCATTTCTGGTTTCTCTTTAAAGGTAGATGCGAGGAGGGAGAGAGAGAGAGAGAGAGAGAGAAGGTGTGAGAAGACGCAGAGAGAGAGAGAGAGAGAGGTGAGGAGAGGAGGAAAGGAAAGTGGGGCAAAAAATACTAATTTTAGGTTTTCTTTGACAAGGATCCCAATGGAGCAAAACGTTGCATTTCTGCACTGGCGACTTTTGAGTAAGTTTTTCGTATTTTTTTTCTAAAGAAAAAGGGGAAAAAGTTTGCAGAAGGACAGACAGAGAGAGGGAGAGGGAGAGAGGGAAGGAGAAAGAGAGAGTTTATCTGAAGTCGCTGCTGTTTCTTTTGAAGTGCGTCTAAACTTTAAAGTGTCTGTTTGTACAGTTTTGTTGCTTTTTTTTGTTCATTTCAAAGTAATAGTACATTTTAAAAGTGTTTTTTTTGGGGGGGAGATGTTTTTCTACCCCACACCCCCCCCCTCCCTCCCAAAAAAAAGATATCTTAATAATTAAGAGAGAGGAAAAAATAAGAGCAGAAAGTTCATTTTACTGTTTTTTTTGTGTGGATCATTTTTCAAAGTGCTTGTTCCTTTTAAAGAGATTTTTTCCCCCTTTTTTTAAAAAAAAGGATAGTTAAGAGAAAGAAAGAAAGAAAGAAAGAAAGAAAAAGAAGAGAGAAAAGAGAAGTAAAGAACACAGAAAGAGTGAGTGTGTGTGAGAGAGAGAGAGAGAGAGAGAGAGAAAAAAACCAAGTAAGAGGAAAAGGGAGAAACGGTCAATGAGAGAGAAGACTAAACCAGAGAGGAGGAGAGGAAGAGGGGAAGAGGAGAAAAGAGAAAGGGAGACAGACTGACTGACAGACAGACTGACAGACAGACTGACAGACAGCTGATGGGTGCAATGGTTTGTTTAAACCCCAGGTGTGACTGACTAGCAGTCGCTGTGGATGATGAGCTCGGGGCTGGATGTGGACAGTAACTTCATGGGCAAAATGCAGAGCCGGAGACGGTGGCCGAGTGGCAGAGAGAGCAGGAGGAACAGAGGACATCAGCGGAAAAGCTCCCTGGATTTGGACCCAGCGCCAGAGGAGAGCTTGTTGCGCTGTGGCCAGATGCGGTCCTCGGGCAAAGTGACGTTCTCGCACCCTGGACAAGAGACCCCGCACGTTACCAACTCAGCCCCCCAGGACCCCAGCCTCCCCTCCCCGCCCTCCCCCCGGCCGCAGCAAGGGAAGGACCCGGGCCAGAAGCCCGCCCGAGCCGACTCGGGGCTGGAGGGGGCCGGCCCGGGTTCGGTGTCTCCCAAGCGTCCGCCAGAGGAGAGCCAAGCCGAGCCCGAGGAGAACGAGGAGGTGGAGATGAAAGCCGTGGCCATCTCTCCCGATGGCAGGTTCCTCAAGTTCAACATCGAGCTGGGCAGAGGCTCCTTTAAAACCGTCTACAAGGGGCTCGACACCGTCACCACGGTGGAGGTGGCATGGTGTGAGCTACAGGTAAGACGTGTGTGAGCGTGACTTTTGTGTATCTATGTGTGTGTGGTGTGTGTAAGTGTGGCTTATGTGTATCTGTGTGCATATGTATGTGTGTGTGTGTGTGTGAGTGGATAAGTGTACCTTGTGTGTGTGTATATGTGTATATCTGTTTGTATCTATCTGTGTGTATTTGTGTGTGTATCTGTGTGTGTGTGTGTATATCATACCCTTGCATTTGATGTAGCGCCTTATCACATCTTCTAGACGTCTCAAAGTGCTTCACGGAACATACTGTAAAGTGAATTGAATATATTTTATGAGTGAGATGTATGTGTCAGTGTGTTTATAAATGCGCGTGTGTGTGTATGTGTACGTGTGTGTGAAGATGTGCGCGTGGGTGTATATGTGCGTGTGTATAAGTGTGTGTGCGCGACTGCCTTGGTGTGTGAGGGATGAAAGCCTTGTTGCTTACACTGTGCATCAGTTACCGTCACCCAGTTAGTGGTTTCAACTGATGTCAGAGGTTGGTATTTTGCTATCATTATACCTGCAGACCCGAATGGCTGCCTTATAATGTATTTTGTGGCGGAGGGAGTGTGTGTGTATGTGGTGGGGGAGAGTGTGTGTGTATGTGGTGGGGTAGAGTGTGTGTGTATATGAGGATGGGAGTTCACAGTGTGTGTTTGGGGGGTGGGGGACTGTGTGTGTGTCTGTATATATATATATGAAGGGGGGGTGTTATTGCGTGTGTGTGTGTGTGTATGAATTATAACGATGTGTCTGTAACCGACTCCAGCGCTGACATCTGTTGATGAAAGCTTCATTTGATACTCGGGTTATGAAATCAGGTGTAAATAATTCACTTCAAATTACGTCAAAGACATTTTATTAAGGTGTGCAAGAAGGCAGAAAGAGAGAGAGAGAGGAGAGAGAGAAACAATAATAAATTGGTCATTTTCAATCCACGACTGTTTGTGGGACATTGCTGTGCGCAATTGGCTGCCGCGTTCGCCCACAAATATACAGTCAATTCACTTTACAGTGTGTTCTGTGAAGCGCTTTGGGACGTCCTCCCGACGTGAAAAGCGCTATATCAAATGCAAGGATTATTATTATTATTATTATAACTGTTCCGTCTAACCTGACGGTGTTTCGAGATTCAGACCTTGAGGCGGGTAAAGGGCGAACGAGCTACGAAAGGGGGTTTTATCCCTGGAATTGAACTCCCAAACTGGTCCTTACATTTGCTCCCAGTCAGCACCGACAACAACAACAACAACATTTACGCAGCAACCCCCCCACCCCCACCCCCTTCACGTCGGGAGGACGTCCCAAGGCACTGGACGCTCAGGGCTTTGCACCTGAGCTGGGGGTTGGGATCAACAGGGAGTGGAGGGCAGGGAGGGTGGGGGTAGGAGGGTGACCAAAGGGTCTTGAGAAGGGCCTTGAAGGAGGCGAGGGAGGGAGCGAGGAGAAGGGACTGTGGGACGGAGTTCCAGACGGTGGGGGCAGAGGGGCTGAAGGCCTGACCACCGATGGTGGGGGAGGGAGGGAAGGAGGGAGGGAGGGAGGGAGGGAGCGGGTAGGTCGGTATGGAAGGCCGTCGCGAGTGAGGTTAGGATTCCCTCTGTCCCTGACAGAGCGGTTATTTAGGGAGCCTGACATCTGGCGCCATCGGTTCTGTGTTTACTGGGTTTCCCCCAAGACCTCCTGTGATTGAGTGCATTCAGCTCGTAATTCACACAAAGAGCCCATTAAACACACAGGGTCAGTTGCCAGGTGAGAGCCAGACTGAACAAATTCCCCCCCACACAAGGTTACTCCGATCCACTCGAAGAGCCGGATGCAGAAATCGCACCAAGCAGATTTTGGCCGCACTGGCTCCCGGTCACGTGCGAGCACACGTGAGCACACGTGAGCACACACGAGCCCGGCCACCGCTACTGGGGGTCAGTCTGGCTCAGTCAGTCGTCCTCTCAACCTCGGGTCAAAAGGTTGTGGGTTCGAGCCCCACGTCGATGCTTTGAGCTCGCTATCTAGGCTGACGATCCAGGGTAGCACTGGGGACGTGTAGGGGGGGAAAGGGAAGGGAAGTGGAGTCCTGTAGCTCAGTGGTTAGAGCACTCGCTTTGCAAATGAGTGACCTGAGTTCAATCCCAGGCAGAGGGCGAAACCTTGGGCAAGTTTCCTTACTCCACACAGAGCCTAATAATAATCCCTCCAAAACCAAAAACAATAATTAAATTGGTCATTTTTAATCTGTTTGTGGGGCATTACTGTGCGCAATTGGCTGCCGCGTTCGCCCACAATTACACAGTCAATTCACTTTACAGTGTGTTTTGTGAAGCGCTTTGGGACGTCCTCCCGACGTGAAAAGCGCTATATCAAATGCAAGGATTATTATTAAGTGGGGAGGGGGGTTAGGGGGGGTGCTGCATTGTCAGAAGTGCCGTCGTCCTTTGGATGAGATGTTAAACAAAGCTGCCATCTGCCCGTCTGTCAGGAGGTGTTGGTTAACGATATAAACAGAGGTTACAATACAACTTACATTTTTTTTAAAAAAAACTCACACTCCTTTCCCGTCAGGAGGACGTCTCAAAGTGGCTTCACGCTGTCGGATGGGCAACCAAGCTGGGGCGGGGGGAGCCGAGGGGTGGCGGGGTGGGGGGAGAAAGGGGAACATGCCCCATTCGGTTATAAAATTTGAATAAACCTAGGATTGAAACTCAGGCACTCTCCAACGGAAAGCCAGGCACAGATGGTGATATCAGTGTAAGATTGATGCTTCCTGACTGGGCAGGTAAACAGTGTTAACAGTGCCAACTTTAAGTAGGACCAGTTTAGCGAGTCAGAAGAGCGGGCTGTTTGCATCTAACGTGCTGGAGGCAGGGCGCGAGCGTGTTTAACTTGCACCCCAGAGAGCAGTGCGATTTTACTGTTGCTACCTTAGATAATAAGCTGATCGTCTAATATGACGTTGGCTGCTGCTAGGAGATAATACCACTAATAATATTAATACCCTTATCACATCGTTGAAACGTCTCGCCGCACTGCACAGAACACACTGTAAAGTGGATTGACTGTGTATTTTGTGGGCGAAACAAGAAAAAGATAGTTTCGCCCGATAGTTTGCTCAGTCGGTCACGCACTCCCTTCTGCGTTGTGGGTTCAAGCTCGCGCAGTCTAGGCTGGGCGGTGGAGGGGGTGGGGGGAACGGAGTCTCAAACACCGAATTGTCTGAGACTCCATCCTTCCTGTTGCAAGCGGGCATCGGAGGTGTGGAGAAGACGTGTTCGGGCACTACATCAAACGCAAGGATTATTATTATTATTTTATTATGTGTGATCGGGGCAAAAGGCAGCCATGGATGGCTAGGAGGACGGTGAGCTTGTTTGGAGGGACGTTGAGCTGAGAGACGAGGGGTGGGTGGGTGGGTGTGTGGGTGGGGAAGCGAGTATTTTTTGCTCTAACCAACAAGGACCTTCCCTGTGTACAGTACTTCCATCAAGGAACCAGGAGTAATTGCTCACGTAGAACAGTTGGCAGGGAGCAGTATGACTTAAGTTAGATGTGTTGGAGGCAGCAGTGGTGACAGATTTGGACAGAGTGTAGGCAGTCTGCAGCTTCAGCACAAAATGTGGACACGCGCCAAAGAGCTGTGATTTGTATCTTTTATACAAAAACGCTGCTTCAGTTTGCAGAGTTTGGTTTTTTTTGGGGGTGTGGGGGGGGGGGGGGGGAGGCGGTGAGGACTTTATTGGCTCAGCGAAAGCTACTTCCAAAGCAACTAAAACCCACAACTCATCCAGTCAGTCAGTGCTACGATTTGCTGGGTTCAGAGGAGCCTTTTAAGTGCACGAATATTTCTCAGGTCAAGTCTTGAGAGAGAGAGAGAGAGAGAGAGAGGCTCCTTGACGTGCACAAGACCGAGTGTTCTCTTGGCTTTCCCCAACCCCCCACACACCACCACCAACCCCCACCCCACCCCTCAAGTCCTTGCCGAGCGTGAGCTAACGATTGCCAGAGATTCGGTTGATAACCTTCGGAAACGTTTGAACGCCGTCTCGAGCAACGCCGCGGATCTCTGCCGAACGGCCTCGTTCCGAGCATTCACCCATCTTCTGTGGCCGAAGCGAAATTTGACGTCAGTCGGTTTGCGAAGCTCTATTTATGTTATTCCGTTTGAGTTTCCACCGGGGACAGCCTCGGGTCTCCTGGTCAGCAGTCGGTCTTGTCTTTGATGAAAGGAAACTATTAAAGGTTACACCGTGCCAGATGTGAATGGTTTCCTGTGGGTATTTTACTCCTGCGACTGACTAAACAATGGACCAATTACTTTCCCGTCTCCTCCTCGGCCCAGTTCAGACGAGGACCCAACCGCTTCTGTCAATAGATAACAATAATAATAATAATACTTGCGTCCGATGCAGCCCCTTAATCTCGTCGTTGAGACGTCTCAAAGCGCTTCACAGACTGCACCGTGAAGTGGGGTGACTGTGTGTTCAACGCCTTGGGACGTCTGCCCGACATGAAAGGCGCTAGACAAGCATAATTTGTTGTTGTATTTTGTGGGCGAAACGCGGCGGCCAATTGAGTGCAGCAGTGTCCCCACAAACAGTCTTGTTTCCCCCATACCCCCCCCCCCCGAACCCCTTCCTCCTCCCTCTGAACTGTGCTGCAAGTCTGCAGCAATGAGATTGGGGGTGTATGTGGGGTGGGGGAGTGTGAGGGAAGGGGGTTCCCTGTTTGTACTTGTGAGTGGCGTATCATTGACTGAAATCTTCCAACACAGAGGGAGGTTCTCTGAACGAGCTACTTATGAACCTGCCCTTCCCACCCTCTCCACCACGTGCACGCCCATTCATACACACGCCCCACACGCACACGGCCGTGGGCACATACTTGCCACACGCCCATACACATGCACGCACGCATACACCACTCGCACGCACACAGCATTTAAGCATTTTCCTTCTAAGACATTTGTCCAATTCCCTATCGGGGAAAAAAAACTTGCGGAT